GAGGCTTTCCGGCTGTCCTTTATCACACCTGCGACCTCAGATCGGCCGAGAGTATCCTCAAGTTCGGCCTGGTTCCGGGGGGCTATCCGAAGTCGACAGGCAGGGCCCACGTCTACTTCAACCCAACGCCACCCTGGGAGGCGCAGATGAGGAAGCTGGCAGGCACGCGAGCCGGAAGGCCCGTCACAATCGCATTTGACACTGAGCTCATGATGCAGGACGGGATCAGGCTATTCACAAGTGATGAGGCCTTCATGTCCGCGGACTGGGTTGGAAACGCCTATGTCATATACGCCTTCCATACCCGCAAAAATGAATTCCTTTACTTCAACCGGGCATACCCAGAGCTTCGCAAGCGGTATCGCGAGGCACTGACGACCGAGCTCGCGCCTGGGCCTCACGACGTCAACCCAAACTTTTTCCGAAGTGAGAACACCCTCACCGCAGAGAAGGCCTGGAGGCATTGGCGGACCGTCGTTGAGGGGACGAAGAACGGCAAGCTGCTTCCGGGTTCCGTCACCGAAATTGAGACGATCGATGAGCTCGCTCCCCGGAAGGGGAAGTCGAATGAAAGACCTGCAGGCCCGACCTATCAGGTTGCGCCTGCGACTCTTCGGAGGGTGCCCGAGCTCTCCAGGGGGGAGAAAGGGCATGGTCGCGGCTGGAACAACCTCCGGAACCGCTACCAGAGCGAGCCACGTTGGGAGGACCTCCTGTTCACGACCATGATGAAGATTCCGGTCGTAAAATGTTGGAACCGGAGGTGCAACAACCAACAGATCGACGGCTACCTGTTGTGTCAGGAATGCCGGGCGGACATGGTGGCTTGGACGGACGCACGCATTGCCACTGAGGTGGTACGCCTCGAGCACACGGCATCCCTCCAGGGCATGGTTTTCTACCTGGAGGATTTGCAAGGTGGCGGAGGGAAGTGGATCCGTTCCAAGCATCACTTCAAGGAAGGTGAGAAGCGGGGAGGAATCTCCGTCGAAGCGTCACTCAGGAAGACGGCAAAGACGCATCTGACCAAGGCGTTGGCGATGGGGTGCGAGAAGGTATCCGACCGGCTCTCGGTCGACCCCTTCTACGCATACAACTGTGCCACGCAAGGGCTAACCCCTGAGAGCCTCGATTTCCTTGGCCGGATTGCCCGTGCGGTTGTTGCTGACCCAGGCCGTACCAGGGAGGAGCGCGAGAGAGGCGGATCCCAAAACACCGGAACCAAGCTGGTGTTCATCCCGAATCTGAATAAGCGCGACCCCCATGAGCTCAACGTTTCCACGGAAGCATTCATCGCCCACCACGCGAGGTTTTACACCATCACTCAATTCGCAGTCATGTGTGCCTACCGCTTCATCCCGGGCAACCAAGTGCCGATCATCATCGGGCACAGCGGATCATACGTCCCGGAAGGGAACGTCGAAAGAATTTTGGAGGTCATGACCAGTTTCATTCGGGCCTCCTGGATCAAGTTCGACTCCCAGGGCACCATCAGCACCGGTGAACTCGAAATCCCGCGGTTTTCCTCCGGCCGGACGCGGACCTATCCTGTTGAGGCGAGGAACACCCAGTGGAGGGCGATCACCCGGTCCATTCGCCCCGAGCCCTACACCAAAGGAAAGGGCAAGGGCAAAGGCAAGAGCACGGGGCGTCAGGACTGGAGCTCTTGGTACGGGTGGTCCTCTGGATGGCATCAATGGCGTCAGGGCCCGTGGGGATGGTGAGCGCCCGCATCAATTACAAAAGTTTGCTTATGTTGTGGTAACCATTTCAATTTCATTGGTGATGTCATGTTCAAAACTATTATCTTTCATCCATTGATGCCGCAACATTAGCAGTGCCAAGTTTGCACGCCCGGCGGAAGCTGCGGCCGTAGGTCAATCCACGGCCGCCACCACCGGATGTCATTTCAGTATTGCCCAGCGGAAGCTGTGGTCGTGAGATCACCTTCGCTGATGGCAACAGTGTGAATTCAGTTTCAAGCATTCACATGGAAATCACATGTGTTTTGCCCGACGGAAGTCGTGGTCGGCCGATTCGGATGGCACGCTCCTGCAAAAGTTCAAATGCATTGCAGTTGCAGCGACCATTGACGCATGAGGCCTCATATCACCATGGCTTGCCACCTATCCCACTGAGGCTCTACGTCTTCACTGCTTTGACCTCAGAGGACTTTGCTTCAGGCATGGGGGGAGAAACGTGTACAAAGTACTGTTCTCACCAACGCACCTCTGCAAAGCGGGGGGTGTTGATAGGTAATGGCATACTGACATGACAATTGGCTCAAGAAAAACAAGCTGCTGCCTGTGCTGACTTTTAGGTAGATCCCACCTTTCAACACAATTATCTGAGATGATGAGATGAGGGTTGCAGTTGCCATACGTCACCTAGGGGAAGGGGGCAAGTGGGCCTAACTGACACTGACTTTAGTGCTAGTTTCCACATTTCACCCACCAAAAGCGAGTCACTTTTAGGGGGATCAGATCATCAGATCATCTGAGGGCCCAGATTCCTCGACTTGAATTCCTGGCATCTTCCTGTCCGGTGAAACGGACTCCTCAACCGAAGGCTTCAAAAAAGACCCCAGAGGTCGTCCCTCGCTCCGCGGCGGCATTGGAGTCCCTCGCGCGCGAAGTCCGCGGAGCGAAGTCAGGCAGCAGCGCTCTGGTGGCCCTAGCACCTGGTGGCCACCAGGCCGCGCGGAGCGCCGAGCGCCGCGGAGGGGGGGGGGGGGGTTGGGGATTGGGGGTTGCTTCTTGTAGGGGCTTCGTTAATTTTGTTTTTCCTGCCCAAGTCTTGGCTTTTTTTTGGGGGGGAGGGGGGTTTAAGGGAAACCCGAAGGCAACTCTCAGTTGTTTTTCCCCGGAGTTGGTGCCCTTTTTGGGGGTTGGTTCTCAGGTTGAAGCCCGAAGGAAGCCCGTTTCTTTGCTCGTTTTCTCAGGAGTTGGTAATTGGTAATCTCATAATCTCCAATGGTTGGCTTGTTTTTTTTGGGGAGACGCCAACACACCAACACCTGTTTCTTGCCCTTCGTTCCATGCCCTGCATGATAGCTCTCAAGTTCTTGCCTTTGCGACACTGAAGGAAACTGATTTTGTTAGGGGTCTGGGGCCCCTGTTTTGAGATAGACCCATTTATGGGTTGTTGTCTCTGAAACATAGAGTTGAACCGCAACTGTTTGGATTGCTGGTTTGGATTTGGATTGGAAGCCCTGGTTCTTGCAGAGGGTTTGTCCATTTCACCACCAAACCACCGGGCTGGCATGGGACACCAAACCACCGAGCTCCGGCTCCACATTCCACCTTCTCGCGCACCCGCACCTAAGTGGAGGGAAGCTGAGTGATTGCCCTTCTCGCAGCCATACCGCGGTTGCACCGGTGGCCGCCGATCCGCGAAGAAAAAACGACCAAACCGATCCGATCCGCTCAGTTTCGACGCTCCGGAGGTGCCGGCGCAAAACGCCGAGCTGGCGAAGAGGCGACTGGCGGATCAGGCGAGTGAGCGGGGGCATCGGGGGCAGAAGGCAAGCCCCAAGAAAGGTGGGGTTCATCTTCTGGGTGCGTCCCTGCCATCCGGTTCCTTAGGTTTTCAGGCATTTAGGGTTTCCGGTTATTAAGGTTTTACAGGCGTTTAGTGGTAGCAGGGGATCTGGGAACAGCCCGGTTTTGTTTTCCCTTGGCAGCAATCTGAAAGGGGTACCGACACAAAAGCACGCATGCCCATGTTGCTTTCTTTCGGATGCTTTAAGGACTTCTGCCCCCAAACCACCATTAAACATGGGATAGTGTCCCATCCACGCTTTGAGCCCTCTTCAAGCTAGTTTCATTTTGGTGGCTTGATTTTCCATTGGAACTGTGCGATAGCCAGGGAAGGGGGGCAGACTTTGGGACAGTCTCCTTGCCGGAGATAGGCGTGAGGCCTTTTGTTTGGAGGTTCCCAGCCATATTATGTCAGACTTTCAGGCTTGTCGCATGAGGCATTTATCACATATCCCACTAGACTTTCAACTTTCCAGATGCCGCTATAGGTACCCAACAGAATTCCTTTTGGTTTTAGGGGTGGTTGCCTTGGTTACCTACAACACAGGTAGATGGAATCACGTGGTTTGGCAGGGCAGGTTTAGCGTTTGATTGTGACTCATGCCCAGCTGGGCTGCAGAAATCGATGTGACATCGGAATGCGAGAATCGCAGGCTCAATCTATTTTGAACTGCAGATTTGGATGTGTTTTTTTATGAGGTTCCATGTTAGATCAACACGGACGCCCCCCCTCCCCCCAACAAATCCGTTCTACTGCGTTTCGCGCTCGGCGCAGTTGGGCATGAGGATCCGACTTTCGACCCACGAGATTCGCAGCGCCCAAAACGTTTAATGGCGGTGAGTGTATGATCATGTTTTGGAAGTACACCGGCTTCACATGAGTCGCAGTCCAAATACACCAAGCACGGGTTTGACCAAAGAAAATGGTCATTATGGATGACAGATGTCGGTTTGTTGTGTTTTGAGGGCCATACTTTTCGATCCGGTCTGGGCCAATCCGGGGCTCAATGCAAACACTACCGGCTACCGGGTTAACAACGAAGCAACCAGAGGTGTTCTTGCTTTGGGAATTCAACGTTGCCCGAGTTGTGCAGGGAGCTGGGTCTGCCGGCAACTTCGGCGGTTTCTTTTCGATTGTGTTTACAGGAACAGCAACTCGGGGTGTACCCTCCTCTTGTTGGGGGCTGCTTTTGGAACCATTCAAAAGAACCCTACTGCAAATGACTACTGAGTTGATGGAACCATGGTGGAAGCCTCCTGATCAAGCTGACCATGGCTTGCCGCCCGTTCCGCCCGCAGCTGATGGTTTCACTGAGTAAGATCTTCAGTTGGGATACACTTCAGCCAAGCCGCAAGCCATCGAAATCCGCGACTGGGGATTTCGCGCCAGCCCAGCGAAAGGATGTTTTCTGCGACCCGATGCCTCAAGTGCACCTCAGCCCAGTGAAGCACCAGCCAACAGTGCAACTCGCGCAAATCGCCCGATGCGACGTTGTTGAACTTCCTTGGCGCCTCCTGAGGGGGCAGCCATGTTATGGCGAAGCCATCTCAGGAGAGATTATGGTGGGTGCGGGTGAACACATGGAGGGGGCGGGACGCGAATATGTGCTTTCCTGTTGATTTCCCTTTTACACCCCAACGGATGCCACACAAAACGGATTCCTTCAAGAAGATTCGCAACACGGTACCTATGTCTAAATGCTATGCCCGATTCACAATGAAGGGATTTGGCATGGCAGCAGAATAGCTGAAGAGAGCAGTTGGAACTCAGGCTTCGGCATGTTCTGCGCACTTGCGTCCCTCGAGTCCTGTCGCCGTAAGGCGGCCGTTATCTGAGTTGACTGCAGAGGGATCAAACCCCACGTGTCAAAAGTAGGATTTGATCCTGTGTGCGGTTTCCTTTGGCAAGGTCCCCGAAATTTCAATTGGGCACTGGTCGACAGAGACTTCCTTGAGGCAATTCATTTTCCGGGTTCCTGACAAATGCTATGTCGGAGGGCAATTCACAATTCATCTTGCGGGTTTCCTCCCCCAAGTGCTTGGTTGATTCAAGCTGTATCGATGCTGCAGAGCTGGGACACAGGGACACCCAGGATGCTACAGACTGGTAGGCTGGGGGGGATAGGATTTGCTGGATCAGCTGGGGAGGTTGGTGATGCCGTGTGTGTCTTGGAGGTGGGGATGGTCAGGAAGAGAGTGATACATGAGATTGATGCTGTGCGGCGCGGGGGCGAAAGTTTGGGGGGCTCTTGTTCCGAAAATGATAATAATAATAATAATAATCACAATAACAAGAGTGGTTTCGTTATTTTTATTAAAAGCACCAAAAAAGAGGTACCCTCAAAAAGGGCGAGCTACCATTTCGGGCAACCGCACCTAGTATTTTCAGGACCGCCCGAAGGTGCCCAAGGGTGAAGATGACGAAGGCCCACGTGCTCGACCCCGGCTGGCGTGTTCCCCCCACAATAAGGATGGCCCCAACTCAAGCCCCAGGGCGGTTTTGGGCGGCCCCAAAAGCAGAATCTTCGGTGTTTTCTGGATATCATGGGGTTTTCACAGACCTGTGATCCGGAACTCAATTTGTTGCTCTCCGCCCAGCCTCCCACACATAGAAGCGCTGCAGAACACCGCCCATTTTGACTCGAGGTCGACTCTAGGGTCGCTTTCATAGGGCTCAACCTTTCGGTTGAACTGAAGGGCGATGGACGGAGTCTGGGTCTCACCATGGCGATTTGAACTTTAAGAGTTGGAACCACCTCAAAAAGTGTTCCCAACCAAAAGGTCATACCCATTGTCCAAGATTTGCATGGCTGATTGTTTCCTCTTGCTTCCCCCTCGCACATCCAAGCCACTAATGAAGCAGCTTCTCATAGTATCGCTATTGTGGAGGGAAGAGGTTGGTTCTTAACAAACAATTGGTCGTTTTCAGGTGCTTTTCGTGGTTTAAGTTTTTTCTTGGTGCGATGATGTCAGATGTTTGACGATGTTTGATTTTTTTCCGAACTTGCATGAAACACAGCGTTTCCCCATGTATGCTGCTCTTGGACGCATTTGCCTAAATGAGAGGATCGTCCCAAATTTGCAGAAACCGTGGAAAACACTGCTTTTCCTCATGACCACTGCTCAAATGAGTGCTCACTTGAGTCTTTGGGACCTGCCAAAGGTGGCAGGTCAACAGCTAGACAGAGGGCTGGACCCCCCACAGGTCTGGACACATGTTGCTGAATTGGTTTGTGATTTTCGTACCTGTTGGTGGAAATGGCCATGACTTGATATATCCCATGGCACTTAGCATGCACATGGAAATGGGTGTGTCTCAATATGAGGAGCAGACCCCTCTGGGCGGTCTGTTTCCCATTGGTTTGCTTTTGGAAGGCTCTCCCACCATTTTGAGACATGGCTGGTTTTGGCTGCGTCAAAAACGGCATCTGAGTTTTGTTCAATGTATTTTCATGGGTAGGATTACCTTTGTGTCCCTAATGCAACAGCCAGAAAAAGAGGCCAAGCCCAAGTTGAGACATACGCGTCCGTTGTCAAGCGCTCATGTGAGAACGCATTGGCCACAAACATCCAGAATGTTTAATCATGGGCATTCTCAGAGGTGGATTCTTTTTGAGGTATGGGCTATGGCCTAATTAACCATGAATGCAAGCTAGCAAGGCACTTTGTGGTTTGTCCAAGCTCCATATCTCCAGAACCAACCAGGAAATGCAACCGCAGCCACTTTTGGGGTGGGCGTTAAGCTCAAAACAAGAACATCCGGTATGGAAGCCAATGGCTTTGAGCTGCTTGTCCCCCAAGCCCGAAAGGCACAGGCCTGGGTCACGTTGATGTTCCACGCCAAGATTCAGTAACGTTAGTCAACCCAGCACATCTGTCCTGCTCTTGCAGATCCAGCAAATGCAGCAAATCCATTGCCAATCCTGTTCACCCATGACGGTTCATTTCTTGAGGGACCTTTTTCAGGTTGGCGATCTATTGTCATTCACCCTATTGGCTTTCTTCTCATCTCCCTTGAAACAATAACCTTGACTTTGGCGGGGACTTGTGTTTCCAATATTTACCTTTTATTCAAACATTATTGTTTCATTGTCCACATGCGTTGACTGTTGTATGCACGCAGTGTGTGTATATATTTTATCCATATACAAACGTATTTACCTACCTATTTACTTTTCTACATACATCCATACATACATACATACATACATATATACCTACATACTTACTTACCTATTTACTTACTTACTTACATACATACATATATACATGTATACATACATACATACATAGCTACATACATAAATAAATTGATATAGTTTATATGTGTTTATAATGTATTGTACTTGTTATATTATATTTTATAGTATTTATATATATATATATATATGAGTGTATATCCTCTGCGTTTGTGCATTTTACATGTATTTGTTGTACATGTCATATGCAAATCTTACATACACGAGTGTATCTCATATCTGCGCTTCTGTGTTCGAAGCAAAGGGCCCTGGCGGCACTCGACTCGGGGCAGGCGAGAGCAACCTGGCCATCCACCCACAGGACGAGCGCCAGCTGGAGGAGGCCTTTGAGGACCTAAAGCGGATCCGTTTTCAGACGCTTCCAGGGAGGTGTTGCGGCGGTCCCCTTCCGCCGGAAAAAGGTTGTTTTTTTTGGGCTTGTTTTTGTGTCGGCGGTTTCCTTGGTGTATTTTGGGGTTTGTTTTTGTGTCGGCGGTTTTTGCTTGGTCTTCTTCAAGCCTGAAAACTGCTCAACCCCCCAAAGTGGAAGAACGGATCTTCCTAGGTTTTGTTGGTAGCTCCATTTTTTTCCATTCCGGCTGGGTTTTGCGGTTTTTGTTCAGGGATGCTTCTCTGTAAACAGCCATTACAGAAGTGGAAGAACAAATTCCATAGGTGTTCCTTTTGGTTCCCTTCTTTTCCATTTGCTGAAAATGAATATGGCTGTGGGTCAAAAATAGGTATCCAACATCTGTTGCCGTAAGTGGAAACATGGACCAAAGCCTGCGGGCTGATTTTCGTGGTGGTGAAATTTCGACTCACACCAACATGTCCCTTAGTTTCCCTCTGGTGGTTTTGGAGGGAATCTGTTGGGAATGTCTTTTTTCCCCCCCTCCGGTTCTAAAGCTGGAATCTATGACTGCTTGTTTTTTTGTTTTTCTCCAGGGGGCGAAAAAGCAAATTAAAGTTTTTGAGGCCAGTCGAGAGTTTTCATGCTGCGAGAATGTACCCTGGCGTTCCTGAGGTAAATAATTGTGGTTACGTTCACCTCCATTGTTTTAATGGTGGTTTTGAACCCCAGGGTCAGTTGCTAGGGATGCAAGGTGCAGTTAAGTAGTTGGAGTTTCCATTGCGACCCATAGATGGGTCGCATGGCAGCAATAAGTGGATGTTTGATGGATGGCAATTGCGTGATTTGTTGCTCATGCTATGGAGAGTGGGTGAATGCACAGGTGTTCCGTCGTTTCCCTTGTTGGAAGCTCCTTTAAAGTGGCGATCGTTTCAATGGGAAGCACCAGCAAATGTGTCAACGGTTGAGAGGCAAATCTTGGACGCCCTGTAGGTTCTACGAATGTAGGGGGTTCTCCTACCCGAGCCCCCACTAATTCAGTTGAGTAGCTGGCACAACTCCCTCATTTGGGTGCATAGGCTACTACAGTTGTATGAAAGTCGATGGTGAAGGATCCATATGATCGGTGACCTTGTTTTAGCCCTGAATCGGTGAGCTCGACATAAAACAGAGCCACTTGCGACGTACATAACACAACTCTCCCGTGTTGGGTGTAGTCATCCCCAGAGCTTGGCGAAAAATATTTTGCGCCATCAACCTTCACCGGTGCTACCTGGCGCAAAAAACATTTTACGGTGAAGGCGGAATATAGAACTAGATGGACATGTTATGTTCCTTGGTTCATAGTGCCCTTCCCTCAGGGAACGTTCCGAAAGACTTTCTTGGATGGCCGAGTTGCCGTCGCCTTTGTTCCCATACCCAACAACTCCTGGGGTGGCTCTTCTGGCAGAGCTCGCTATGGAGATGTCCCAAGAACTCCTTGCAAGGCAGTATACACCCCCTTATTGAAGCGGAAGCCTCATCTCTCGAGAACCCCTGCCTGACAATACCCAAGTTTCCGCACGCCATTTGCACGCTTCCGCTCACGCTTTTGGAGGACATCGAGAGGAAGACGCTTGTCTGAACATGCGGGACTCCGCAGTGTGATGGGTCTTGAGGTAAATGGGGAAACTGCCCCTGGAACATCCAAACCGCTCCAACCCACCTGGAAGGAAGCTGAATTTACGGTGTTTCTTGGTTGTTTAAGGCCTCATCCCAATGCTCACGTTGCCTCATATTGGTTGGGGTTGGTTGCCTCACTCTTGTTCCTCTTGCTGAACCAACATGAGCTTTGGTCAAAGCCAAAACACCTACCATGGGTGGTTTACGGTTGGTGTCCCTTCCAACCAAAGGCTACCCTCAAAGCCCAGCCCCATATCCATATCCAGTCTGCAGCCGACAAACCGGAGCAGCCTTTGGGAAGGCGCAGAAAGCGGGCCGAAGCCGAAGCCGGTTTTATCTGCTTCGCTGCTTCGCCAACTTCGGGCCTCGCTGCTGCACCGAATGTGGCGATCCCTTACCGCTTCCGGGTGTTAACAAAAAGACACAAACAAACAAACAAACAATTAAAAATTAACAAACAAAAACAAAACACACAATCAAACAAGCAACAAAAACAAACAAACACACAAACTCTCAATAAAACAGAAAACAAAGAAGCACACACACAAACCAACAAAAACAATAACAAAGAAACACAATAAAAAAGAAACACACAATAAAAAAGAAACACACAATAAACAAGAAACACACAATAAACATTTAACACAATAAACATGAAACGCTTTGGGGGAGAACATTTGACCAAACTTGGCCCCATTGAACTCCAAGTTGCGGACAGCCGAGGTACGAAACAGGCGCCGGCCTCGCTTGCCTCGAGATTCGGCGGTGTCGAGTCGGTTTGACCTCTCGGATTGAAGCCTTGGGGCAATATTACCATTGGGTCAAACCATTTTGGGGTAGGTGCACCACCCATGTTAGAGCCAATTTTAGTGGGGATTGGGATGTTCACTGGGGGCACGATTTGGATTTTGACCCATGGCCAGATGGCCAGGGACATGTGGATTCCCGAGTAGGTGTCCAAGCCCTGCCCGTTTCAAGGAAAGATGCGAAGCATGTTGAATCGCCACACATCGGGAAAACAATAGGGCGTTCGACCTCTAAGCGAAGATTTCTTGCTTGGGGATCCATTTCTTATTTTTGGTTGGTGAATTCTTAAATATATGTACCTGCATGCATATACTTGTATACTGTCATTTGTAGCACCGCATACCTCACAAGTCCAACAATGAAAGGCCGAAGTCGTTGAGACAAGCCCCAGAAAAGGTTTCTCTTTCAACTCTCCCAAAAAACAAAACAAGCGCAGGGTGCTGTTTCGTGTTCCCATCACCTGGGCTTCTGGGCTGGCGAAGGCGTGAGTTAAGCCAAGCTTGGGACTCCTTAGGGCTATGGGCTATCACTGGAGAGAGAAGCCCAAGCCTGAATAAGGCTAGTGGAGGTAGGTAACCAAAAACTGTCCTTGTGGTTGTTAAAGGGTGGCGCTTGCCCTTGGTTACCGATTGGTTACCTGCTTTTCTAGGCAAATGTCACTTCTGAAAAGGGCCTGAAGGGCTTAAGGAAGCCCTTGAGGAAGCCCTACAAGGCCTTTAAGGTATGAACGCGAAACCGTGACTTCCGTATGTCACTTTGTGGTAATAGGGGTTCAGGGACATCCCCTCCCCATAGCCCACAGACGGGGCCACAGGCGCGGTGCACGAGCTCCTGGGTTACACGGTGCGTGTGCCCGTGACCATCTCCGCGGACCTTCGCCTTGGCTTGGATCTCCGCCGCATGTCAACACGAAGCCCACGAGAAGGGGGTTTGCGACTGGTGGGGGTTGGGTGGACCCAGACACCCGGAATTTTCCATCCGGGTTCTGTAGTCTGTTTCTTGGTTCTGAGCTCTTTTGCCGAGGTCTGTGGTGTTTTAAGCAGGATTCGGCGGCTTTGCCAAACTCTTCTTGTTTGTCTCGCTCTTTCTTACGAGGTTTTCTAGGTTTGCTTGTCCGTGTTTTGCAGCGTTTGCAGCAGGCTTTGTTGGTATCACCTGTCTTTTCGGACTCTCCGTTGCTTTTGTTGGGCGCGGCAGGGGCTGGTTTTTGCTGGTGTGGTTCTTAGAAACCGGTTTGTTCGACTGGGCACTTGAGCCGAGCTCAGAAGGTAAAGCGGGAAGTTGCCCGACGGTTCCGCTTCGCGGGCGGTTTTTGAAGTTCTTTTTCTTGGCGTGATGCTTAAACGGGACATATTGGGGGACCCCTGTTCAAAGTAAACACCTGGGATAGCCCGCAAAGCGTTGCATTGCCCCTCATATTTTTTGTCGGAATACCCAAGCAAGACAGCCGTTTCTCCTTCGGGTGCTTTAAGTTTCAGGCCCGTTTTTGGACTCGTGCAGGAGCCAATTAGTTACACGGGTGCACCGGTCCAGTATCCCAAGATGTCACGAAAAAATGGGTATGTCGAAGAATCTTCCAAGTGCCAATTGCTATAATGCTGACCCCATATTAATTGGCACCTGATTATTAGTTGGGGGAGTCCCTCGAACCTCGAATTCTCCTGAGAATTGGCGCCAGGAGTTCATTGGACATGAGTTTTGGGGCAACCCACTGGCACCTTTCAACTTGCAAGGGTGAGCAAATGATACCCTTCTTGCCCTTTAAACATCTTATGTTGACCAGCAGTTCATTCATTAACCAACCTTTTTGTTGATAGGGGGCGTGCTTTTCCCTGGGTGAAATGTGCTTGTAGCTTTCGAAGCCGTAAAACCTTTCTGGGTTCCCTATACCTATATGGGTGTGTGTGTCTTTTGAGGGTACCCTTTCAAAGGTGGCTCGCAAGAGAAGCCAAAGGAAAACCACCGTCACGCTTGACTTCCCTGCCCACCCTCCGCCAGAGCAAAGAAGGAAAGCCACCATGCTCGTGCTCGGGGTCATCCTGTCTTGTTTCCCTGTGGCCGGAAAATGCCCGGGCCAGAAGTCAGCAACCCGTCTCTGCGTCATCTGCGTCAGTTCGACCAGCATGTGTGGGGGTCAGCTACGTCGATTCCAAGGTGATCCCAACGATCCCAGGAAGGCGAGGCCCGACGCTTTAGCTCCTGACCGAACTTTAGCCTCCGGCCTCGTGACCGAAGTTTCTGAGTATTCTGTTGCTTTCTAGGTGTTCCGTTGCTTTCTTTCAATGTCGTTCTTATGTTGTTTGTTTTTTGTGTTTGGCTTCGTTTGGTTTGGTCGTTTGCTTGCACATTGCCTTGGTTCACCAACTTTGGCCGCTTTGGTCGGTCAGCCAACTTGCCAAAGTTGCTTAGGCCAACCGCTGTCTGTTGTTTTACCCAGCTTGCATTTTGTGCTGCCCATTTTGGTTTGGCTAGGTCACCATGTTGTGAAGTGGTTTGATGTTTGAGAGACTATCACAGAGGAGGTGGGAGTTTGTCCATAGTAAGTCACTGTTTTGCCCTTCAAGGCCCTTTCGGGTTTCCTTCATTTTGGGTGTGTCAAAATAGGTGGACCCCTAAACAGGGGTCAAACCTATGCAAAAAGGATACTGTCAAAAAAGACCAGCCACCCACTTCGCCGGGACGAAAACATCAGCAAATCGTTGCCCGAATCACCATCAAGACATTGCCTGATCGGGTTTTAGACGAGGACTTGCCTCTTGAGGCCCCCGAAACGTCCAACCCCTGAGCACGTTGGAGAGCGTGCAGCTGCCCTCAGGTTGTTTTCTCCCGCAACAACCTCTCTGCCCAAAATAAGCCCCAGAGTGGTTCGGAGCAGCTGTGGGCTAGGGTTCTGGACACGCAGCGTATTTTTTTCCAGACATTCTTGGGTGGCTACTTTGTGTGTAGTCTACATGGTCATGAGGGTGCCAACCCCAGCTTCCCCAGTAGCCATGGTAGCCTTCTGGTTGACCCAGTGCGTCTACAACCATGGATACAAGGGCAGCTTCCTCAGCCACGGTGACCAAGCTTAAAAGGCCTCTTCGGTTTCTGGGGTCGAATGGTCCCGCGGACGAGTCGGAGTAGCCGCAGATCGTGGGGCTGGATGACACCAAGCCGGAGCAGCGGCCCTGGCCCAGTACCGAGGCGCCAGGACCCCAAAAAAATCACAGCCACCTACTTGGCGCCTTTGGGCTCGTGGCGCAGAATTCGGGACACGGGGGTGTAGGCGTTGGTCGTGTTTGTATTTTTTGCACGCACCCGGTGTTTTCTTTCTTTTTCGTCGGCCCGGGGCCGGGGGGGGGGGTGCCATGGACATTTGCGGGGTCATTTGGCACCCTCAACAAAGAGGTCGCAAACAAATCCGGCATAGAGAGGTTCCAGCATAGGGGCTCGATCACGGGGGGGCACCATAATGTTGACCCCGGATTAATAAACCCCTGTTATTAATGTGGGGGTGTCCCTGGTTTGTAGTGGGAATCATCACTTTCGGAGGGGGAACACCCCCATATTAATAAACCGGGGGTTATTGATCCGGGGTCAACATTGGGGCCCCTTTGGACCGTGTGCTTCCCCCAGCTGAAAGCTTTTGGGTCTCCACAGTCTCCAAGATGCTCCGGGCTCGGGAGCTGGAAGGGTTCCGGGGGTAGTTTGGCGGTTTGGCTCACTTTGGTCAACAAACAAGCTTGGTTGCCACAGGCGTCCTTTTTAGGTTAGCTTGATTAGAAATAGATGGCACTGGTTTAGATGGGTTTTCTTCCATTAACCAGGGCCATCTATTTTTCAACAGGGATACGTATGTTGCGTTTTGAAAGGCCAGCCTACGGAAGTGAGATGTAGTCCCTGCAAATTGACTTTCACCAAAAAGCATCTCTCCGTTCGGTAGCTTCTTTTAGGGACTATGTTCACTCTGCAAATTAACCTGGAAAACCAAAACCACTCGCTGTGCAGAAGCTTCTTTTGAGGGCCATGTTCAGTCTGCAAATAAGCATGGGTCAAAACAACGCCGTCTTCGGAAGCTTGTTGTGGCATGTTAATTTGCACGGGAGGTTTTGGTGGACCAGGTTAATTTACAGGGGAGTAGGACCTTTGCTTCGCGGATCCTAGTTTTCAGTTCCTGAACCCAGATCTGGCAGGTGGCGCGCGTAGATCCCTTGGGCCAGATCGGCGCCCTGGCGGAACTGGAGGGATTCTGAGGTCGGATCCAAGTAACGCAAGTGGCTTGACCCTACCCCGGGCAAGTGGAAGCTGCGAAACCCCCGTGGGCCAAGTACCAAATCCCACTTTGGTTTGGTGTTCCTTCCAAGCCAAAACATAAATGGGGACACCGGGCCCGGATCGAATTGTTCACCTCCGGGGAAAACGCAAAGTGGCGAAACAAGCCACTATGAAGGTCCCTTACTGGGTCGGCAATTGAGCTAGAGTGTCCCGCGGGTTTTCCAAAAGTTGCATGTGTTTTAGGTTTATAAAGTGAACGGCGCTTGAATGAAAGTGGGCAGCATTGTTTACCCTCTCCCAATGGAAGTGAGGCCCGACCAAAGCCCAATGGGCCGTGAACCTCACCTGCCAAAGTTCCTTTCTTTGGGGGTTTGTCAGGTTGGTGAAGTAGAACTCACCCATATAACAAAACTTATTCAGCCTTCATTCTGACCAAAGGCCCCAGATTCCCCAGGACTTACGGTCAATTCCAGTCAATGTTTAACAAACTGATATAGGTATGGGTCATTTTTTCAACCACCAGAGGACCGCAGGTGGTGAATGTTTCCACTTACCAGGGCAACCCATTCGGGGTACCGATTTTTTGACCCACAGCCACCTGCGCATGTGGGAGGGCCAAACCTTTCGGAGCCCAGGGCGCTGGAATGAGTACCAGCTCCAGCAGGCTGAAGTGGATGCCGCTCGGGCGAACCGTCGGTTTTTTCCCGGTCTAAAAGGTAAGCCACATGTGGGGGTCCCCTTCTTCCATTTGCTTAAGAATATGTGTTATTTTCCCTGTTGGTTGTAAAGGGAATCTAGTACCACTGGAAATATGTGTTTTTTTCAGCGGACTTAAGCAAATGGAAGCCTGTAGATATGCCGGCGTTCGAATGTTTGAAAGAGTTGGACCCCCCCCAAAGCTGCTTGGACAAAATCATGAGGACCCACCGAATTCTGCGGGATCCCCTATTCACACCCAAAAGTCCTTGAGGTCCCAAGATTCGCTTGGACCTACCTTCGCTTTTGTTGGCTTTTGTGTTGTCATTTTGTGCTAAGGGCCGACTCATTTTGTCGACTTTCAGTGGTTCACCGCATCCCTTGCGGACATGCCACGCAGTTGTTCCATCTACGACGCCGAAATGGGTTTCTGCTACCTGGTCCAACCATTCTTGTCAGAGATCCCATCAAAGTCCCCTATGATAAACAGCTCGTCTATTGAAAAAAATGATGGTTGAACTGAAATGGCTGTGGGTCAAAACCAATGGTACCATTTTGGGGTAGTTGCACCACCCATGTTAGAGCCTATTTTAGTGGGGATTGGGATGTTCACTGGGGGTACGATTTGGATTTTGACCCATGGCCAAATGGAAAAGAAAACAATAAGAATCAACACCCTAGATTGGTCTTCTTGAGGACTGGGAGGATGTGATCTATTCTGATCAGGCCTGGTCGATGTTTGTTGACGGACGCGTGGGAAC